GTTTTTACAGGGTTTTTTTCAGCATTTTTGCTTGAACAATAGGCATGTTTTTCAAGCATTCCCTTTGAAGTTTATTGGGACCAAAAAATGCTTGAGGGCCAGTTCACACTATAGAAACGCAGTCCAGATGAGTTTCCGCATGTGCATTTGTTATGCGTTCTTGACACAGTCCTGTACATTTTTTATGCATTCTAGTACATTTTTTTCCCCTCTCTGTTTCTTCAATTTAAATAGGTACATGTGCATTTTTAGTGTATTCCAGTGCGTTTTTGATGGGTTTTACCGCTTTCCAATACAGTTCTGTGCAGCATGTGCTACTTTTTTTTCTGCAACCGGAACGCACTTGAACTGCAAGCACTGATGCGAACTATGACATTGACAACCATATATCCTACTTTCTGTGCATTTTGGATGCAGAAATAAAGCAACTGAAATGCATGTAGTGTGAACTGACCCTGAAGCTCAAAAGAACCTTGTACTTTTTTGAGCATAAAGCAATACTATGTCCAGGTGTGGGCAAGCACAATAGATGAGATTTTGGATGTTGAGGATTTTGGAGCTTCGAGCTACAAACCGCTCAGGTTTGTATATGGCCTAAGTGTGGCCATCTGATGTTGCTCAATGTGTATTATTCAAAACCACATGGCTTGGTCCCATAAAGTAATACAGCCACAGCAAATGTGATCAAACGTAATCTGTATTTGTAAACATAATTTTAAATTTCACTTTGACATGGAGGAATAAAACAACTCAAAAAAGACCACAATGTTACAAACCAGCATTACAAACACGTATACACCTTATATGGCTCAGAATGGGTGATTATTTTTTTCTGCTTCTGTTTGACCACACATTTTCACATTTTACTCCACTTTTCTTATCCTGATTGTCAATACTGCTTTTTTTTTTTTTTTTTTTTTTTTTTATCTCAGTGATTTGTAGGACCCTAAATCTCAAAATCCCACTACCAAATCTCTTTTCATGAATGACAAAATTTCAGCACTCCACTGCAGGTACAAATCATTGTTTCTAGCCTCTCAGATCTAAACATGCAATATAGGAGTTTGCATTTAAACTTTATACTGCAACAAAACAAAAGACAACATGTATGTGTGTATATTCTTCCAAGAATTCATGATTACAGACTTATTATTGCACAGATGCCAGCAGGTTATATGTATCAAGCTACCTAAAAGAAAAAACCTACAAACTGGTTAGATCATGTATAATTTACTAAACAGACATAGCTGGCCTAACAAAACAATTGGGAATCTTGAATTTCGCCATGTTGTTTATGGAGTGAAAGTTGGGAGCCACTGTTCTCATACAAGCTACAGCAAGTGTTCCTGCCATGAAGCAAGATAATATATTGTCTCAAGTAGTGCCCTCTAGTGGTGACATGAAATAATCCACTCACCTGCCTTTTCATGCCATGTTCAACAAGAATTAGATAAATGCCATCCAATCTAATACAACTTGCTGGACAGTCTAGGTGACCAGTTGAATTTTCACGTACAGGTGAAACTCGAAAAATTAGAATATCGTGCAAATGTTCATTTATTTCAGTAATGCAACTTAAAAGGTGAAACTAATATATGAGATAGACTCATTACATGCAAAGCAAGATAGTTCAAGCCGTGATTTGTCATAACTGTGATGATTATGGCTTACAGCTCATGAAAACCCCAAATCCACAATCTCAGAAAATTAGAATATTACAAGCAATCAATAAAACAAGGATTGTAGATAGAACAATATCGGACCTCTGAAAAGTATAAGCATGCATATGTACTCAGTACTTGGTTTGGGCCCCTTTTGCATCAATTTCTGCCTCAATGTGGCGTGGCATAGAAGCTATCAGCCTGTGGCACTGCTGAGGTGTTATGGAAGACCAGGATGCTTCAATAGCAGCCTTCAGCTCTTCTGCATTGTTCGGTCTCATGTCTCTCATCTTTCTCTTGGCAATGCCCCATAGATTCTCTATGGGGTTTAGGTCAGGCGAGTTTGCTGGCAATCAAGCACAGTAATCCCATGGTCATTGAACCAGGTTTTGGTGCTTTTGGCAGTGTGGGCAGGTGCCAAGTCCTGCTGGAAAATGAAGTCAGCATCCCCATAAAGCTCGTCTGCGGAAGGAAGCATGAAGTGCTCCAAAATCTCCTGCTAGACGGCTGCGTTGACCCTGGACTTAATGAAGCAGAGTAGACCAACACCAGCAGATGACATGGCTTCCCAAATCAACACAGACTGTGGAAACTTCACACTGGACTTCAAGCATCTTGCAGTGTGTTCCTCTCCATTCTTCCTCCATACTCTCGGTCCTTTCCAAATGAGATGCAAAAGTTGCTCTCATCAGAAAAGAGGACTTTGGACCACTGAGCAACAGACCAGGTCTGGTTTTTTTTTAGCCCAGGTAAGACGCTTCTGACGTTATTTGTTGTTCAGCAGCGGCTTGACAAGAGGAATACGACATTTGAAGCCCATGTCCAGGATCCGTCTGTGTGTGGTGACTCTTGATGCACTGACTCCAGCCTCAGTCCACTCCTTGTGGAAGTCCCCAACACTTTTGAATGGCCTTTTCCTGACAATCCTCTCCAGGCTGCGGCCATCCCTGCTGCTTGTGCACCTTTTTCTTCCACACTTATCCCTTCCACATAACTTTCTATTAATGTGCTTTGATACAGCACTTTGGGAACATCCAGCTTCTTTTGCAATTACCTTTTAAGGCTTTCCCTCCTTATGGAGGGTATCAATGATGGTTTTCTGCACAACTGTCAGGTCAGCAGTCTTTCCCATGATTGTGATTCCTACTGAACCAGACTGAGAGACCATTTAAAGGCTCAGGAACCCTTTGCAGGTGTTATGGCTTAATTAGCTGATTAGAGTGGGACACTTTGAGCCTAGAATATCGCACCTTTTCACAAGATTCTCATTTTCTGAGATTGTGGATTTGGGGTTTTCATGAGCTGTAAGCCATAATCATCACAATTATGACAAATTACAGCTTGAACTATCTTGCTTTGCATGTAATGAGTTTATCTTATATATTAGTTTCACCTTTTAAGTCGCATTACTGAAATAAATGAACTTTTGCACGATATTCTAATTTTTGAGTTTCACCTGTATACCTTGTTCTAAATTTAATCTGACACCAGGGTCATCTGCTACTTCCATAAACATGCATGTTTAGTTGATATCATGTCAGTCATCTGCTGGTTGGATCTTCTCATGGCCATCTAATACAAAAAGGCATTTAAAAGAGACCTGCAATGAGACCCATAACAAGAGGAATAATGCTGACCTCCCTTTGAAAATGCTGTCTATTTGGCTGTCATGTTGACCCTCTGACTTTGGGCGTTCTAAGTTGCTGACCTGAAGCAAGCATATTTTTTATGAGATTTAAGTGTTTGATAGTATAGCCACCTTTCCCTTTCTCCTGGTAACTGTATTTCCTTTACCAAGGCTAGCCACAGTTTAATTTCCCTTATGAGAATTTAATCGATTATTCCATCCACGCTAATGAACGTGGATGGAAGAATTTGCACTGCTGGTTATTGTATTCAGATAGCCGCAACACCAGAAGTTGCCTGAATACCCAAATCCTATGAAATGCAGTCATTGTTTGGTCGACAATTTTTTCACTGAGTTCAGTTGACTTTGTCAGGCTGGATGGTACCTACAGGGCCATCCATAAGTTTGGTAGGAATCCACCGAAATTTGAGCTGTGAATGACTAGTTTATCATTTGCCAAATGCAGAAGATTGGAGCCTAGTGTCTGGATCATGCATTTGTATGTGCAGGAGCTGCATTGTCATTGGCCACCCTATGACTAAAGGAAGAGGCCATGGTCAGCAGAAGAAGCTTCAGAGAAGATGGCATTGATGGCTGTGCAGCTGGACAAACTCCAAGGTAATTACGCCATAATGAGCAAATATGCCATGCAACTTTGAACATTATGGCAAGTGCTCCCACTGCACCCTGAGACCTAAATTCTTTAAGCTGCCATATGCTTGTACTGGGTCTGTGAAGCTGCAGCATTCTCAGAAGAGGGCACAGCAATGCTGCTTTACAAAACTTTAATCTATGTTTAATATTATTTGGTACCCTTATTCCTTTTGCTAAGTCACTCATTCAGTACACTTAATTTAATGCAAGTTTTGCACGGAACAATTAAATACATTTCCAAAAAGTATAGTAAAGATTATTTTATTCTTTGATTGTTTTTCTCATTTTTGAAAAAGATGAAGCCCAACTAATTCTCACAAAATGCTTGGGTTCAATAGTTCCAGGGACCACACTCTGCACATCTTAGAGACAGGATGGTACCACATAGAATCATGTGCTAGCAGGCTGAAGGCCCAGATGCACTGTGAAGAGTATGCTGAATCTATCTGTGAATGGATTTAAACTTATGCATAGTAAATTGGGTAGACTTTTGGCTTTAGCTTACTTGCAATTCTTTCTAGATAGACTTAGCGTTGTTAAATGTTTTGTCCTTGTAGGAGTTGCTTTAGTATGCCTAACATAACCACTTTCAATCCTTATTTATTTATTTTATTACAACGCCCAAGACTACATGTGTTCCTTCACAAAAGCCAATCAAATTCAAGGCTGTGCTAAAAATGAAAGCTGAAAAATGTTGTGGAGGAATACACACAGTTCTTTGAGATACAATAATATAAGGATAAAGATTAGGTGACAAGTCTCGGCTTTTGGTAGGCAATCTACTGCCTATATATTTTCGTACTTTTGAGTCATCAGTGCTGATCTGCACTGGTTCTGAAACCTGCTCTGTTCCACTTATAGAGCATAGGGAACCCCCCCTTTTTTTTTTTTTTTCTTCAAGGGAAGAACCATTAAACTACCCTTCAACCTTCTGTTTCTCACGTCTGCCTGCATGTGGACTAGGTGTTCTGTGGGGATTGGTTTTGGAAATGCACTAGTTACACTTTCAACACCATAAGCCACTCAACAAATAGTGCTGACAAACTACATATGCCTCCCTAGCGCCCTCCTAAAATGTTGCACACCTTGCAGCTAGGATCCTTCTTGGCGTTTGCTGTTGAAAGGCTCATTAACTGATGCCCTTTGATCTCTGACAGTTGGCCCAAGCCCAGGGGCACTGGGTCAGTGTAGAATATCTCAAGGATAAGATCCTGTGCATGCCAGTAACTGCCCTGTTCACCCTGGGTCAAGAAAGGGTTGTTCTTCGGGTCCAGCAGTGGTAAGCGGGCACTACAGAAGGTATCTCCTTGAGAGCCTCGAGGTGCCAACACCAGAATGGCATAGTGATAGGCACTGTACATGCAATAGAAGTCGGCAAAGTAAAGATTTGTCCCCTCATTAAAAAGATGCCTGGCAGGTACAGTAATCCTCCATCTCCCATAGGGCGAGTCATTTGGTGGCAGGCCTGTGTTAAATTCTGTGTTGCAGCTGAAGAATACACCATGAAGGGTACTGCTGATGGGTGATCCATGGCTCCCACTTTGGTCTTTTAAGGATGGAAGCATCAAGCCTCCCCACTTGTCTCTGTCAAATTTTAAAACAGAAATAATCAACACAAAATTTGTTACTGCATACATTATGTCAGGTATATATGTACATGATAATGTGTAGTCCTTGTATGAGCAACACTCGGGAACCTTGTAGGGTCAATCAGTATAGCTGCATTAAACAAACCAATTTGTCTATGTGCACTTGGCCATATAATGTACATTATATATACTATATGGCCAAATGTTTGTAGACCCCTTACAATCATACCTATTTCAGCCTTTATCATTACAGGACCCAGGGGTCCCATCGGACTGTGAGTACTAGCGATTTGCGATGCTACCTGCAACTGTGCAGGTCAAAGGCTGGACTGGTCATACATGTTCATGTCGCTGATTTACTCCTTCAGTATCTTCTATCACACAGGCTGGCTACCATGTTCTATAGTACTGGATTCCCAGTTACCAGCTGACCATCCTCACTCCATGGTTGTCATACCTTCTTTAATTATTAGCCGATCGATTTCAGCAAGCTGCACCAGTGTCATTCACTCTCTCACAGCTTTTGCATGAATCACCTTTCATTGCCTCATCTTCATAATTGCCTTTATTCATCTGGTTCTGGTCACACAAGAGGTCATTTATACTACGTCTTGAATGGACTTTGAGGCTTTTGCCCTGTACAGTGACTTTATTCCTTGCTATCCTCGATGGCCAGCAGCCATGGCCATACTGGCCTCTGTTGATTGCCATATATACTAATGCTATATGTTTATGCATCTATGTCTGATGTTTAGCTGTGTCCATTATTTGTATGGTTGGCATATCTAGGAGCCCCCGGTGAGTTTAGCAGGCTCATATGCCATCTAGTGGGTGTTGGTGTCAGTGTGCTGGTACTATCTATCTCAGCTCCTCTCTCTCACTTGTGATGGGGTGGCGGGATGGGAGGGTCCTCCACCTAGGGGAAGGATTTCTTGTGGGGATATTGGGGGGTTGATAGGGCTGGTGGGGTGGGTTTTGTCAGGGGTTGGGTGTTGGAGGGTTGGGTTAGGTTAGCCCAGTGGACCATTTCTATCCTCGGTTCCCTTTAGATATCTCTGAGGGGGTAGGGTCCTCAGTCATGCAGGACTGTCATGTGTCCGATAGCTTACAACTGTTTATGGTGCATAATAAAATTCCTTTGAGTTTAGCCTTTTAGGTGTGCAGCCTTTTTTCTTCCCCTCTTTTTTGTTTTTGATTTTTTTTTTTTCCTTTCTCAAATTTACTCATAAGGTTGGAATCACAGAATTGTCTTAAGTGTCTATCCAAGAGCATTAATGGTACCCTTCTACTGATACTCCTAAACTCATCCTAAAGTGGTGTCCCCCCTCATACTTGTGGCCATATAAAGTAGATGAGATTATCAGGTGTCCACAAAGCTTTTGGCCATATAGTGTAAATTTGGTGTAGGAGCTGAGCAATAAACTACCAGTGCTCCAATAAAAATTAGATCGTATTATGTTTTTCCTAGATATTTGTAGTGTATTATTTTTAGGATTTCTATATTATGAAATATATATTGCTATTTCTTCTGCTATAGTTACATAGTTAGTCTGGCTGAAAAGTACATCCAGTTCAAATATATAAAAAAAAAAGTTATAATCCTCCACCCACAGTTGATACAGAGGAAGGCAAAAAATCCAGCACAGCATGATCTAATATGCTCCTGCAGGGGAAAAAATTCCTTCCTGATCCCCCAAGAGGCAATCAGATATTCCCTGGATCAACTTTACCTATAAATGTTAGTAACCAGTTATATTCTGTGTATCCAAAAAAGAATCCAGGACTTTTTTTAAAGCAATCCACTGAGCTGGCCAGAACCAACTCTTGAGGGAGTCTATTCCACATTTTCACAGCTTTTACTGTGAAGAAACCTTTCCATATTTGGAGATTAAATTTATTTTCCTCCAGATATAAAGAGTGCCCCCTTGTCCTCTGTGATGACCTCAGGGTGAATAGCTCTACACCGAGTTCACTATATGAACCACTGATGTATTTATACATATTGATCATATCCCCCCTAAATCTCCTCTTCTTAAGGGAGAATAAATTCAGTTCCTCTAATCTTTCCTCATAGCTGAGCTCCTCCATGCCTCTTATCAATTTGGTTGCACTTCTCTGTACTGTCTCCAGTTCCCCAATGTTCTTTTTGTGAATTGATGCCCAAAATTGAACTACATACTGTATTCTAGATGAGGTATTACTAATGATTTGTACAGGGGTAAAATGATATCTCTCTCTCTGTAGTCTATTCCTCTCTTAATGGAAGAGAGGATTTTGCTCGCTTTAGAAACCGCAGCTTGGCATTGCATGCCATTATTAAGCTTGTGATCTACCAGAACTCCCAGATCCTTCTCCACCATTGATTCCCCCAGTTGTACTCCCCCTAGTTTGTATGATGTAAGTGCATAACCTTAAATTTATCAACATTAAACCTCATTTGTCACATAGTTGCCCAATTAAACAGAGCATTGAGGTCGGCTGGTAAATTGGAGACATCCTGTAAGGACAGTATTCCACTGAACAGCTTGGTGTCATCTGCAAAGACTGAAATGGGATTTTTAATCCCAGACCCTATAACATTTATAAATGCATTAAAAATTAAGGGTCCCAACACTGAACCTTGGGGTACACCACTGAGAATCCTAGACCATTCAGAGCATGAATCATTAACCACTACTCTCTGAATATGATCTTTTAGACAGTTTTCTATCCATTTACATATAGTTTTTTTTTCCAAGCCCATAGACTTTACCTTACACTTAGCTGTGTGTGGGGAACTGTATTAAATGCTTTTGCAAAATCCAAGTATGCCATGTCCACCGCCACCCCTCTGTCAAAGGTTTTGCTCACCTCCTCATAAAAATAAATCAGATTTGCTTGACAACTTCTGTCTTTTATGAATCCATGCTGTTTGTTGCTTAAAATATTTTTTTCCAGCATGAACTCATCTATGTCGTCTTTTATTAAACTCTCCAGTATCTTCCCAACTATAAAAGTTAAACTAACAGGTCTATAATTACTTGTAAACATTTGGACCCCTTTTTAAATATTGGCACCACATTGGCCTTACGCCAGTCCAGTGGTACTATGCCAGTCATTAAAGAGTCCCTAAAAATTAGAAACAATGGCTTTGAAATGACAGAGCTCAATTCTTTAAGGACCCGTGGGTGTATGCCATCTGGTCCAGGTGCTTTATTCACCTTTTATTCTGTGTAAATATTTCTGGATCATATCAATTGTGAGCCAATGTGGATCATCTGGAGCTGTGTCAATACCATGTCCATTATGGACAAGAGCTCCCCCATGCTCCTTTGTATACACTGAGCTGAAGAAGGTATTTAATAAATTTGCCTTCTCTTTGTCCCCTGTCACCCACTCTAGATTATTTTGTAAAGGCCTACATTCTCGGCCCTCACCTTTTTACTATTAATATATCTGAAGAATTTTTGGGGTTTGTCCTGCTATCTTTTTCTCTGTTCGTTTTCAATGTTTGCGGCCTTTATTTCCTTTTTGCATATTTTGTTATATTCTTTGTAATGTTTAAACTATGATAGCGTTCCTTCATTTTTATATGTAATACCAGCTCTTTTCTTACCTATAGCTTTTTTTAACTTTGGCCGTAAGCCACATAGGTTTGATTTTTAGCCTCTTAAATTTGTTGCCCATGAGAATATATTTTTCAGTGTGTTCACATACAGTCTTTTTGAAGAACTCCCATTTCTGTGTTGTGTTCACTGATGCCATTATTTCCTCCCAGTCTAAGTCTTGGAGAGCAGCTTGGAAAATTAGCTCTCTTCATTTGAACGTTTACATTTTTCCCGTGCATGCTTGTTGTTTACAGCTAACGATAAATTAAATCATGTTATGGCCACTATTACAGATGTTCTTTTATATAAAACATTCGTAATAAGCTCTGCCTAGTTTGAGATTACCAGGTCCAGCAGAGCATCATTCTTAGTTGGGGCCTCTATGAACTGTACCATAAAATTGCCCTGACCCTCTGAGGACGTGCATCGCACGAAACGCGTCAGGGGTTCAGCTTATGGACATCTAGCCACTATATGTGGCCAACATTTTATGAGCACCACCTCCCACAGTGCCTATCTGGACTAAGGAGTACCTTTGACGCCTACACGGTTTGATTAATCCTGGCTACTGCTCTTCGCGGTGAAACAGAGGATAGTACGGAGTGCGATCTGACCAGAGCCGTGATGCTGGAGAGATTTTACAGATTATACTTCTCTACATGCGTTATTTAAACGCACCTCTGGTGAGTGCGCACTCTATCTGCTCCTAGGATTTTTCACCTCTCTTATAACCACTGATCTGGGATGAGGACTTACGTGTGCTTTAACATTTCTCATTGATTAGCGCACTGTTTACCATTGTATCACATCTTGCATCGATTTTATCTTTTTGATCATTGGCATTTAGATGCATATATACTTTATAGAGAATTTTTTCTGTATTCTGATTTTAGCGCTGCACCTATTTTCTCTTTTTATACAAAATTGTCCTATAGTAGGTTTATACATTATTACCCTTTAACTGTTTCTGCAGTACCATTACTCCAGTCAATTTCTGGGTAGTTAAAATCCCCCACTGTTATCATTGTCTGTCAGGAATGGACTGGCCAGCAATAGTGGGACTCAGCTGCCTTATGAGCTGCAGTACCAGGGCTGGCCAGCGGGTGCTCCCAGCAATCAGAGACTCAACCTTGCAGCCAGTCAAACACCTGGAACCAATTATACTGGTGTATTTAAGGGACATTCAGACCTGCAGACTCTACCTTGGTGTTGTGTTTCTCTTGGGCCCTGTATCCTGTTCCTGCTCTCTGTTCCCGTCTGATTCTCTGCTGACCCTGCTCTGATCCCTGGCTTGTCTGACCATTCTCCTCTGCCTGACCCTCTGTACCACGCTGCCCGCTACCTGCTGAATCTGGCCTGTGACCCCGACCATTCTCCGCTTGCTCCCCCTGTACCTACCTGCCCGACTGATATTGACCCGGCCTGCCTGACGACACTTGCATTGTATGTACTGTTATCTGTGGGTGGTTGGTTGGTTTGTTTGCACTGTGTTATGTTTTAGTATTGCACTGCGTTTATGTTTGTATGGTTAGTGTTAATAAATTACATTGTTTATAACATATCTGAAGTCTGCGTTTCCCTGCGTCAGTCACACACCTCTGGTCATACCCGGGAGCCCTGACATTGTCCCAGCCCTTGCAGCCCTTTCGATCTGTGCAAGGAGCTGAGTCTCCACCTCCTCATTAACACTGGGAGGCCTATAACAAACTTCAATGATTGCCTTTGTAGTATGCACGCCCATGTGCACTTCCACCTATAATGCTTCAGCCTCATCACACTCTCCACCAACTAGGTCCTCTTTCACACGTGCTCTGAGATCACTTCTCACATAGAGACAGACACCACCACCTTTACTTTTTACCCTATCTCTCCAAAAGAGAACATAGCTAGGAATATTAATGGCCCAGTCATGTGAAGAATGAAGCCAAGATTCAGCAATACCAATGAAATAATAGTTCTGTTCATGCACCAAAGCTTCCAACTTACCTATTTTGCTTGGTAGACTTCTGGCATTGGTGAACAAAAACACTTCAACTCATTGATACCTTGTGCACATGTATTTTTGCATATTTTTTATTTTCATACAAATGGTACCAATTCCAATGGTGGTTTGTAACATGGGAACCTTATCATTTGCCATAGCCCTCCCCCCATCTTTCCCCATTCCACCCACCAATAAGTACTGACCCCTTTCTGATCGGTCTACCCCGTTATAATCTAGTTCTCCCTCCCCCCTCGATCCTAGTTTAAATACTCTTCCAGCCACCCCATAAACCTCTCCCTCAGCACAGCAGACCCCCTTCCATTTAGGTGCAAACCATCTCTAGTATATAGGTTGCACCTCAATGAAAAGTCAGCCCAGTGCTCTAGAAACCCAAATCCTTCCCTCTTACACCAGGTCTTTAGCCATGCATTTAGTTATCTAATCTCCCCCTGTCCTTCCTGAGTTGTGCATGGCACAGGTAATATTTCAGAGAATATCACCTTGGAGGTCCTTCCCTTCAACTTGCAAGTCTAGTTCTTTAAATTTATTCTTAAGGAGCCTCCACCTTCCATACTATTCTTTGTATACTTGTTATTTACCTGTAAAAACCACAACCTTATTTAAACATTAAAAATTCCCAAATCTGCTGGTCACCTCCATCTTGGATGTGGTATCCACAGTCCCAGCAGACACAAATTACACTCGCATTATTTATCCCTCTACTCCCAGTTATGTAGGGAGGTGAGGGGTGGAAGAGTCAGACCAGAATAGACAGTAATTAGACACTACCAGCAAAAGGGAGGGTCTATTTAAAATACCCTGTGCTGGAAGCATGCTGGAGAATTGGACAGCTGCTTTAATATACAATGCAGTGGCTGTGGTCCAGTGGCCCCCTGCATAGTGTCTCAGCTAATGGCATACATCCAGTAGTGAAGTCATTTTCCATAGACAGGCTGTTAACTACAGAGGGGGCCGTGGCTCTGAAGTTAAAAAAGGAACTTCACTCACCCCCACCACCACTGTACTCCCCCCTTCCTTCCTTACCATTCTGAGTAGACCAAAAACACTTACTCACATGCCTAATCCAGGGGTGTTTTGTGCAGATCCACTGCGCCACTGCTGTGTGCTACTCCCCTATCTTCATCTGTGACATCATCAGGAGTACAGCTGTCTCTTCTGGGTTCTTGCAGCCAGCCTCCTGATGACGCACATGCAATTTAGAACATCATCAGGGCATGGGCTGCAGGTACCACTAAGACAGCAAGCTCTTAGATGATGCACCCTGGTGTTTGACCAGTAGAACACCCTTGGCCTCTTGGGATGTGTGGTGTGGGAACCCAAGCGTGCAGGCAATAGAAATGTAATTCTGGCCTAGGCCAGAATCTAGGAATTGTGTAGCAAATTCCCACATAGGTTAGAATCTAGGAAGTAGGAAGTGAATTCCCTGAAAAAGTAAAAAAAAGAAAAAAAAAAGATAAATAACATTGATTTTGAGAGGAGAGGGGTAGGTGTGGGATGGAGGCAAGTGTCCTAGGATAGTGAAGTTCTGCTTTAAGGTTGGTATTAGGCAGCTGTGGTAAGGGAATTTAGTTTTATTCAATGTTTCTTTTCTCAGTCAAGGCACCCTTGAAATTTCTGCACATCTCAAGACACCCCATTTTAAAAAGTAAAAAACTTAAATAGTTTTACATAATGCAGCAATATCCACACACATAGGACACCAAACATTAGAGGTGATTTATTCTTCTAAAACAAATACATTCTCCCTCAGTTTCTCTCCCTCACTCAGTTAATGGGACTGCTAATGTGTGCTGATGGAGAGGGGCAGGGGATGGGCAAGCAAAGATGCTGTGTGTGGGGCCCCGAAGTCCTCCTTTTTAACCAATGGTATGGGTAGAAGGTTGTAATGGCTCACAATGAAAACCTGTGGCTTTGTGTAACTAAAAGGCAGGCTTTATCCACCCACTGGTTTGCATACAGTTTTTAGGCATTTTGCCAAGGCACACCTGAAGAAAACTGATGGCACCCTGCTTGAAAAAGGCTGGTTTAGATAATCTACCTGTACAAGAAATGTTTCCCACCCTTAACAAGGGTGAGATTTGTAGTCCCTTGGTAGCAAAAGGTAAACCCTTTGTCAGTGGTTTCTTATTTTCCAAAGATTGGCCTGGATTATTTTTACAGATGTAGTAATGTTGACAAAATGGGTTCAATTTATTTCACTTCATCGACTAACTTTAATGGCCTTCAAATGGCTCACAGTGTTGCTGCTTAGGAAGCACTGCCATGTTTTTTCTCCTGCTGGCTTTTCCAGGTTAGTTATTCATCTCAGACCCCCATCTGCTGCTTACACTTTTCATTTTTGCTAAAATATCAAAAACATTCTTTGTGCCCACCCATTAATTGTAGTGCAAATGAACACAAAGCAAATCTAGGCTGCAGCATACGGTTTCCACCTTTTCAAAATGATAAAATACCACCAGGGCCATGCACAAAAAATTATAGTGTATGAAACATGTGAATCACATATATCACAAGAAAATTAAACAAAATATTTGTCAACCTTATAAATCAAAGTCCAAAATCATAAGTGTGAAGGAATCTTAAAGTCTTTTGTTGTTATCTTCTCATCCAATTCACCAACAGCATCCATCGTGTGATCATATAAAGTTTGACCACCTTTAAGCAGAAGATGGCCACTCTATCCCATAAAGCTTACAAATTACTTAAATCCAGGAATAACTTTTCCAGCTGCAATGACCAATTAACTTAATATTTATAAATGAGAACATACTTGACTACTTATAGGAAACTCACAAGAACAAACAAATGCATATATGCTCACTGCAGAGATAACGGAGCTCACATGAAGCCAATATAATGGAAAATTACATTATGGTACACTCATGTCATGCAATACAAAGAGGAAGTATGCGCAGCATGTAGTAACTCAAACAGCCAGGGAGATGTTAATTTTATCTAGTAAACTGAAAGCTGCAATGCCTTTTTGAAGCAGAGTTTTGGATTCATTAATTCCAGAAAGATTGCTTTTAGAATGATTTATCTCGTACCTGGCATGCTGGAAATATTCTGCCGTCTGATTCCTGTAGAAGACCTGAAATGACAACATCCGGCCTGCAATCCCCTCCGCCTTCTCCTTCAGCTGCTGCACTTGCTCCATGGCATAGTCTGTTTGGGAATATGGATTACGCAAACGTTCATGTTCTTGCTTCAGATTTTAGGTGGATTTAGGTTTTAGTTTTGAATATATGATCAAACTGATTTTTGTGCTGATCTTGTGGGCAGCACAATGGCTAAGTGGTTAGCACTTTCGCCTAGCAGCACTAGGGTTGTTGTTTAAAATCCCAACCATGGCACTACCTGCCTGGAGTTCACACGTTCTCCCTGTACCTGCGTGGGTTTCCGCCAGGTACTCCAAAGACATGCTGGTAGGTTAATTGGCTGCTGTCTAAATTGGCCCTAGTATGTATGTATGTACTGTATGTGAATTAGGGACCTTAGATTGTATGCTCCTTGAGGGTTAAAGGGTTAAGGACCGATGTGAATATACAAAATAAATGTGTGTGTGTGTGTTAGGGACCGATGTGAATGTACAAAATAAATGTGTGTGTGTTAAGGACCGATGTGAATGTACAAAATAAATGTGTGTGTGTGTTAGGGACCGATGTGAATGTACAAAATAAATGTGTGTGTGTTAAGGACCGATGTGAATGTACAAAATAAATGTGTGTGTGTTAAGCGCTGTGAATGTACAAAATAAATGTGTGTGTGTGCGCTAATAAGTAACTGCAATAATGTGCTACACTGGTGTGAAGGATATCTGTGTCATTTTACCCATGTCTGAAAATATTTTGGGTCCCTATTTGTGATTTTTAAAAAAAAATGTTTTTAGAAGAATATGGAAGTTGCATGTCTAATTTATTCTTTTGAAAATGCTGTTGGCTGACTATCTTGCTGAGGCACTGACCTAGAACATATAACTCACGGTATCCAGAGACAGCCAGAAAAATAGTATTCTTAGAAGTAGGACAGCCTCTGCTTTTTCTCCCATTACAGCTTTCTTTTAGAGAACACATGTGATTTGCCCACACATTGCAAAAGCAACAGATTTGTTTTCATGTTTTCCCCTTCATGGCTCAGTCACCTTTCCTTCACTTCCCTGCAGCTTTGTTCAGCTGCCAAAAATATGCAGTTTTTCTGAACTATAAGAGCATGTGACTCACTCCATGGGACAGCACTGTTGCTTGGTGATTGGTCTAGTTCTGTCCAGTCCTGTCAAATGGGGGCCAACAAGTCTCAGCCTTGTGTAAGCTACAAATAGAGCGATTCGGAGTTTGCACAGGGATACCTTTGCTTGCTCCCTGTGGCTGGGCAGAATGGGGAACTGGTAAAGGAAAGGTGTTGTGGTGGCCCAAACACTATTTGTGGCATTCAGACGTCAGCTTTCTATTGTTTCCTATGGCTTCTCCTGAAAGTGCAGAATACTGCATGAAAAAAAAACATTGCATTGTATTCTGTTTTAGCATCCCACACAGTTAGAGGGAAATGTTGGACTGCAGTTTGTCTGCTGACCTTAAGGCTGGCAGGGAAATGTTGGGGACTAATTTTGTCCTCCTATTATGGGTTCCAGGTGGCCATCCTGGGGTGCAGTCCTGCAGGATGTGGGGGCCATCTTGACACAGAGGTGCCTAAATAGCAGTTTTTGCATAATTTGGTACGCACACAGTGTATGCATAAATCAGAAGAAGAACCCCATTTGTTAGGGAGAGACGAGACAGGAAAGAGAAGGTTTCCCCTTATAGGGTATCTCTTCAGCCAGTTTCATGGATCGGTCTCCCACCATCAGCCAGATAAACAGCAAGGAATTTGGGTATCCCAGGGCAACCCAGTAATCTGGATACCTCTTCCAAAGGTAGACATTCTGCAATTTGTAAGTTCTTTTTATATTGCTTTTGACAGACATTACCTTTCTGTTTGAAGAATTGTGTAATCCACATTTTTGGTGCCAGTTCTGTAAACTACCTTATTTAGGTGATCATTAAATTTCTACAACATAAAATAGCATTTAAGTACCAACGTGTTGACTCCTCCCACTTTTTGGGTATTCTGGTCCCACTCGTAAACAAAGCCTTAGCAATAGCATTATTTTAGAACTACTGTTAGGAATCAGATATAGAATTTAGGATATTTTATAGTACACCTTATACTGCTGCTCATTGGTGTATGCCTTTGTGATGCTGGAGAGAAAAAGAGCCTCCAATGTAACAGCATGTAGATCTCTTCTATGGGAGTACACATAAGTCATGAGTTTGTTGCAAAGTGATAATTTGGAGATTCTTCCAGTAATACATAATTTTTCCTTTTGCAGGCTGACAATACTGAACCAATGACTTTCAATTTGCAGCAGTGCTGTCAGCCTGCTGTGTGATCTGCCTCAGGTGGCCCTTGGACTGCCTATCAGGTGTGTGTGTGTGAAGTCAGGCCAACATCCAACTGAAAAAGCACACACCGTAGACTGAGAATGCTGTTGTAAATTAAAACAGGAAGTGCTATTATTATTATTATTATACAGGATTTATATAGCGCCAACAGTTTGCTCAGCACTTTACAATACAACGGGAGACAATACAGTTCAATACAGGAGGGCCCTGCTGCCACTCTGTATAGGAAATGTTTGTTTAAGATTTGTCTTAAAAGCTGAACCTAGGGCTGAACAAATACTGTCTAAATATACGCGGTATGCTTATTTTTACTTTTTTTTTTTTTACAAATTTTTGGAGCCCTTTGTATATTTCTTCCAGATCTGCGCATGCTTGCATGAGCTCTGGCATGTTTGCATTCTAGTCTGAACCTGCCCAGAAGCTGTCACTGTACTGAGCCAATCATCTGTGGCTCAGGCATTGCCTGCCCTGCAGTTGCACATGTACAATAGGCATGTATACCTGAGGCTGCTGGGTGGGTAATGCCTTGGTCGCTTATGACAGCTTCCTTGCAGGTTTGCTCAGGTGGCTTTGCGCTAGGATCCAAATACACGCAAGCTCATCACTGCAAGGCATCCTCCATTAAACAACTCATTAATTATACATCTGTGCAGAAGATTACTGTAATACATCGAGGTCACTGCTGCTCCCTCTTTTTGTGCAGGGTGATTATTCTTGTATCTGCCGGGTCTCTCCCACAGCTCTGATTTCTGCACAGGTTACTTGATGATGTCATACTACTTTTTACAAAATCATACTGGGCTTGCAAAGGCATTTGGTATACACAGAGTGGTTTTATACAGTTTGTGGCTATTTGAGCTTATATTTGAATAAACATTGTGTGCATGGAGCTCCACTTTAAGAAAACTGTATACAGTGATGCATAATGCCAAGCACATTGAAAAGTGTATTTTGGGTTTACATACACTTTGCTGAACTTTGGCCAAAATAAAAAAAAGCCCTACATCATTTATCTGTAGCGCTCAGCCCCTAGGGTGATTTCCCCAGTAGGTTCTCTAGCAGTCTCAGTCTGTCACTTCTCTGGCTCAATGATTAGTCTAGGGGTATTCTTTTGATGCTTTATTGAAAATCAGGGTAACCATAAAACATTAAGTAGAAACTTGAGGACATCTATGTTCCTCCTAAGGATTCTGAGCACAGTCCTTGCAGCAGCAACTAATAGGCTGAGTTACACAGGGACACCAGGCACAATGTCCACCTCTCAGTACAAGCTGATTCTGATGCAAGAGAGATAGCAGCAGCACACAGCAGGTTCTGGGATCTCACACACCAATCTGTATTCACAAATGTCCTTGGATAACTGGATGCCTCCATCCATTATTTTCCAGACATTTCTCTTTGTGAATTCTTTAGATCAGATCCCCAAAAGGAGTCCCTCAATCAGCTCCAGCAGAATTCAATAGAATAGGCCCCCAGCTAGCCAGCTGGGACCTCAACGAGCAGTAGAAAAGCACAGCTGGACTGCCCAGAAGGGCATTAGCCCTTCAGGCTGGGATCTCCTCCTCCTGGACAAGAACCCCTCTGTTCCTAGCCTCAAACTACTTATGTTACCTCCCAGGCATCATCTGGGAACTCACACGTCCCCTTCCCATGGATTGGTGGCTGGGACTGCATAAATATTCAAATATGGATTTGATTCTCTCAGTCCACTACTTTCCAAAACCCTCCAGAAGGCAGGGGGAAGCAGACCTGCATCCACTGAGACACAGAACATCCCAAAATAATTACAAGCTACTCAACTAATTACAGTAGAGCGGAGAACATATCTGTAATGAAGTATGTTCCACACTGTGCAGGCAGATGGATCCTAGAGAAATTTTCACTGCAGGGATGCCTGTCATCTTCCTGTCAGTTTTTTCACTGATTACCACTGCCTGTAACATGATCTGTGAATGAGGGAGAGTATGATCAGTCACTTGATTCTTTCCTCCATTCACAGATTGTGTTACAAGCACTGTGATCAATAAATTAACTCGTTTCAATGGAGGAATAAGCAGGAGGGGGCATGTCCCTGTCGGACTATCAGTACTGCTGTTCTGCCTGAAAACCCCAGGCTGTTAATCATTGTAGCGTCAGAAACTTAGGGCCAAGAAGAGGACAGGCATCCCTTCACAGAAGGTTTCTCCAGGATCCAGCTGTCTGCACAATGTGGAGCATATTTCAATATATGTGAATGATGTGACTATAATTGTAGAGATTTTTTATTTTAACTAAATTTCAGGTTTAATGTATGTCAGGGGCATTGGTGTAAAAGAAGATGCCATCATTGGCCTATGTCTGAAAATCCCAGTTGCTTAGTTAAAACACTGGTTTTAATACACTGAATCTCTAACCCAAAGCAAAACCATTATTTGTTCCAGGTCATTAATTCAAAGAAGTGAGTTTAGTATGCCACCCAGATAAAGGAATAGCAGCCCCATGTTTCTCTCATGACAGTTTACGTTAATGTATGATTTTATTATTTCGAAAAAGGAAATACTGGAAAGCAGAGTTATAATTGGAGTTCTCTAATTTGCTGGCATTTCTTTTTTTTTTTATAAAGAAAGGGAAGTCTGATGTATACCAATATACACTGTACATATCACTATACATACAGTATACATTCCATTAACATACTACATATAGTTATCAGCAATGTGTTTCTTACCCCCTGTACAGAAGTGCAGGGTTTCGCTCCACCCAGATACAGTGTATTCCCCGTCACTGCGTTTCACTGCGGTCTGCACAGCCAGCGTGTACTCTGTCCGGGGGCTCAGGAACCAGTGTCCACGTACTGTCATAGGCAGGACCACTGCTTTCGCCACCAGTTTGGTTGGTACATCCTTCATTGATAAACATAAGACCACAAAGTTGACAATTAACAGTTACATTTATGTAGTTATAATGTAGATGTTTTAGCTGTGTGAATTGACCCTATTACAGTTAAAGCCCAACTTCAGCATTTTTTATTAGTTTTGGATAGAGTGGAAAAAGTTTTGAACCTTTCTCAGATTTTAAATCATTTGGGTGTCATCATTGAGACTTTTCTGTAAGATTTTAAATGCTCAGTAATAGAATGTAGCACTTTTTATATAAAACATTCAGAGACAATAGGACCAGCGCTTGTAACAAATGCTTTTTGTCTAGTATGTTAAATTGACGTGGCCACCACCTTGTAGCTGAACAGCTCAGAATGCGCTTTGCCTACACAGCCATTCTTAACCAGGGAACAAGGGTTCCTCCAGAGGTTGTTACGGGTTCCTTAAGCAAATTGATTGACCTCTAATGGTTTTTAACTTCTTATTTGATGGTGCTTGCATGACTCCTGGGGATAACATCACTTGGTAAAGCCAGCTTCAGGACACCAAGGATCTTTTAGCTGTCTGTAAGGGGGGCATTTTGACCACCACTGTAAGAAGAGCATTCTTTCCACTGATCACCAATATAAGGGGCATTTTTCCCATTGACCCCTAATTAATTGGCTTTATCAGATATTCTCCAACACCAAACAATTATTTAAAGGGTTCCGGAAGGGTAACTTAGTTGAGAAACACTGGCCTTTACATTCTCAGGCCAAAGAATCTTGTACACCCAGTACCCATTACATGTGTGAAGGTGTGAATCTATCCTTTTCTGGAGTACCTGTGCTTCATGCCAAAGACCTGAACAAACCAACACAGGTGGCCAGAAGATGTAATATCCTCAAATTGGATCAGTGGTTATAAGAAGAAATAATACAAGCTGTAGTTGGACACTCACACCGTGGTCCAGAAAATCCAATAAATGTATATTCTAATGCCATGGAAGAAGAAAAAGCTTTAAGATGGTGCAAGTAGCATTTGCTAATCTGGTAAATATTTTAGTTAGAGTGTTTTTTAATTGTTTTAAGAATTCAAATGTTACTTGCACCATCTTTTGCTTTTATCTTCTTACTTGGTATTGGGATTTATCTTCACTGAATTTTCTGAGCCATGGTGGATTTGACTGCAGCTTGGATGTGGATTCCAAGTTGAGGCTATTACATCTGCTGGCCACCTGTGTTGATTTGTTCAGGTCTCGTGTATGAAGTGGGGTGACTTCAGGAAAAGGATTCATCCATATTTGTAATGGGTGCTAGGTGCACCAGATTCTTTGGCCTGGGTGTGTATAGGCTATGAGGGAGATTTACTAAAACTGGAGTGTGTAAACTCTAATGCAGCTTTGCATAAAAACCAATCAACTTCCAGGTTTTATTGTCAAAGCTTAACTGAACAAGCTGAAGTTAGAAGCTGATTGGCAACTATTCACAGCTGCACCAGATTCAGAGTGCACCAGTTTTAGTAAATCTCCCCCTATGTGCATTTTAACTGGTTTTGGCTGGTGTTGGCCTTTTAATGCATCTGTACAGAAAGAAAGTGTGTTACTCACCCGATGTTTGAACTTGTTCTCCTTCTGCCCACCTGTCTTGTTCAGGTCTATGAAATAGTGAGTTACTCTCCTGGCATCATATGGTGGCATCTCCCAGGACACACGGAATGAGTCACAGGTTATGTCGCTAATCTGAATACCATGTGGAGCAGTAAGAGGAGGCTCCATGACTTGCACTGGAAGATGGAGAGATAGAGAGGGTGACAAGGTTTATTTTATGAAAAATTGGTAACAAATATACAACATGTATATATAATAAAGAGGGCACATTTCACAAACTTTGTTCTTATGAAATCTATTTTTGGTTAGGTTTATGTAATGAATAAAAATCTCTTTATACTGAGTAGCAGAAAGTCGGCTGAAAGTTCAAATGTGTCTTGCAGTAGGAGTAGCTGCTCTGTAAGCGGGAGTGGGAGGGGATTGTATCCTAATAAACAATCAGTGTGGGCATCATCAGCATGGAGATGAGCAGATCTTGAGAGAACCTCCATATGTTTGCACCGCAGAGCAAACCAGAACTAGATGGGTCATAGGAATAGGGGCATCACTTTGCTAAATATTGAGGGTTTTTGGTGTAAGTAAAACAACTCCTGTAATGTATATGCCTATCACCTGTGTAGTTAAAACTTTTAGATTTGGTGGCTACATTTATTTTTGTTTTAGGCTTTTTTCCTTTATTTTCACCTGGTGATCCAGCCAGTATCTATTGCTTTTCAACTTCCTTGAACAAACCAAGCTTTCTAGCAAAAGCGGCAGTTAGGAGATAGAGACAAAACCATTTACCACTGACAGGAGTGCTTTCAATGGTCAGCTTTGTTCCAATAGAAAAAAAAAAAACTGTAGCTGTAACTGCTTGAAAAGTATTAGCTGAAGTTCAGTTGTAAGGTGGGATTAAATGAAAAAAAAAAATTACAAACCGACCACTTTTTATTGCAATGTCTCTTGTGCAATAAAGTAAACTTACCTGCACTTTCACAGTTTTCTGTGGAATGGTCATATTGGTTGATTTGTGTTGGTGTCATACTGGTTGAATTGGGGTCCAAATATGTACAGTATATGTATATTTAAATTATGCAAGCTCTTTTAAATATCAGTGGATAGTGAATACACACTATAAATTGTGTCCCATTATGGGGGTTCTCTTCATAGAAGATATTTTTATATGGATCTAAATTAATTGGATTTTAAATTATTTCAGTCACACAATTTTCTATTGTTTATCCCCTATTACAAATGTACTCTTGAAAAATTGTAAGTGGTGAAAGATTTTATATATAGATTGTAAGCTCTAAGGAGCAGGGTCCTTTGTTTCCTCTTGTACCAAATTGTATTGTAACTGTATTGTCTCCCTTCATTTTGTAAAGCACTGGGCAAACTGTTGGCGCTATATAAATCCTGTATAATAATAATATTTTTTTCCCCCCGTTATTTGATAGTTATAACAGTGGGCACCTGACACATTATACCTGGATTTTTTTTTTTTACTTTTTTTTTTTTTAATGAAGTTGAATTCTGCATTAACTGTTTGATTGGAACGCCCCCTTCCAATATCAACAGGTGTAAAACATATTACATTAGTAATGAATCAGCAGAACATAAGCACTGCTCATGAATGCTTGTTACAAAAACTAAAATTACCTTTTCTTTATATGTTTTTATTTCTAAGGACATTTTGCCACTGGAAATGTTTAATGATTTATTTAAGACCGAAAGACCAACACTACAATAAAACCTTTCCGCACAATAAACTCCATTATTGTTTCTAACAATGCAGCCTGTAATTATGTTGTTTGGTATTTATAAACGAATTTCATGCTGACATTTAAAATAAAAATAAAAAATGTTTAGATGCTAAAAGATTCTTACATTATAGCTTGATATATCCTGCTTTCCTATATTTCAAAAGGAATACATCCAAGAGGTGCTGAGAATGTAATACTTATTTACATAGAGCATTGAAGAGAACAGAATCAATTGGAAAGCCCACTGGCTTTGGTTAGACAGATTACATGCAAACAGAGCTACCCTCCAGTGGGTAAATCATTGAAAGTACAATGCAAACAGATGGAGGGCCAGATCAAATTTATAAAATATTCCACATTTTCACACACAAACTTCCAATGCATTTCGGGGGGCTAAAAAAAAAAAAACCACCCTTCATCAGAGCTATACGAAAGTTTACAACCCCAATTACAAAAAAGCTGGGATGCTTTATCTATATTTAAAAAAAAAAAGTTAATTTTGAAATTGATGACAGCAACATGTCCCAAAAAAGTTGGGAAAGGGCAACAAAATGCTGGAAAAGTATGTGGTATTAACATATTATTAATATTAGTGGTAATACATATACATTGACATATATTTGTAATGCTACAATTTTGGCCATGTTCAATAAATAAATAAATATAAATATATATATATATATATATATATATATATATATATATATATATATACACACACACATACACTGCATGTTGAACTGTGTTTTTATTACAAAATACATGAAAACTTTTTTTTACATATAAGACGTCATTTTTACATATAGTTGTAAATGCATTCCAAAAATGTAGATTGGTATTTTTTAAAGACATACAGTATATTTGAAAATGTATTTTTAAAAATACTTTTCATATATTTTGAAATAACGCCTTTCAACATACAGTATGTGTGTGTATATGTATATATGTAAATATATTGAATATGGCCAAAATTGTAGTATTTCAAATATATGTCAATATATTTGGGAAGAATATGTTTAAAATATTATTCAAATATATTTTCTTCCATGTTGGTATGGGGGTGCATTATTGCATATGGATTGGGCAGCTTGCACATTTGGAAAGGCACCATCAATGCCAAAAGGATTATCCATATTTTAGAGTAGCATATGCTCACATCCAGACAGAGCCTTTTTCAAGGAAAGCCTTGCATATTTCAGCAGAACAATGCTAAACCACATACTGCATCTATGACAACAGCATGGGTTCGTAGTAGAAGAGTACAGGTGCTTAACTGACTTGCCTGCAATCCAGACCTTTCACCAAATAAAAATATGACGCATCTTGAAACAAAAAATACAACAAAGCAGATCCAGGACTGCTGAACAGTTAGAATCCTATATCAGGCAAGAATGGGATAACTCTCCCAAAACTCCAGCAACTGGTCTCCTCAGCTCCCAGATGTTTATAACATTTTGAGATGCTGCTGTCATCAATTTCAAAATTACCTTATTTTTTTCTTAAAAATGCTGCATTTTCAAAGTTTAAACATTTGATGTTTTCTACTGTGAACAAAATATGGGTTTATGAGATTTGCAAATCATTGCATTCTGTTTATGTAGATTTTACACCGCATCCCAACTTTCTTAGAATTGGGGTTGTAATAAACATGTCAGTTTTAAAAGGACAATACAATAAATACAGCTCCATGTTACCAATTAAAAAAATATATATAAAAAGTCACATACTATATAAGTAAACATGAAATTACTTCAAAACATACATTCATAAAAATAAATACAACACGATAATAATGATTATTTTGTCATTACTGAGGTGGTTCAAATTATAGGGATCAAAGGTATGGATCAGTTTGTTATAGCACATATCTCATAAAATACTTATTCAATATGTTGATATGGTACTGTAAGCCGTGTACCGGGGTGGGCTCCCCAGGATACAGTGAAGTCACGAACGAGGAAAGCAACCCCAACACCAGCTTTTGCCACAACAGAATTTTACTTAGATGTGGCAATTATGCACAACCACAAATGCTGGAAACATACAATAAATTTACATACACCCAGCCCAAAGGCTGAGACCCTTGTGCTGCACAGCACGGCGCCTCCTGATGGATGAAGGTAGTAAGTGTAGTAATTTACCTACTGGCGGGCACAAATAAGCTGCCACACCTTTCCTGTTATTACCCTAAAAGAGCAGGAATCAGTGTATGGGTGTACGGTATGGGCTAGCCTGCGGTGCAGCACAACAGCTTACAATCTTACACAAATCTACAGTATTCCCTCTCCCATAACTGGTCCTGTAGCACGTGCCTGAGTATTCCTGCTGAGCAAAACGCCAGTCTGGCTTGAGTTTGTAGGATTTTATCAGCTCTCCAATGTGAAATGTCACTTTAAGTTGTGGAGGCCTTCCAATAATCAGTAACAACACTTGTGGCCTGACACAAACAGAGACCCTAACTAACTATAGGCCTGGACTCAGTCTCAAGGCGCCAACACTGAAATGAGGTGCGTGCACAATCTTACTGACCCGGGTCTGCTTTACATCCGCTGGTGACTCTGAACAGAACAAATGTCTCTCCAACAAGCATGCGGTCTTGCCGTATATGTTGTTTAGTTCCTCTGCTCTCATCAGCATTCCTGGCAGCAATCTCATCAGCTTCCTGGCAGCAATCTCATCAGCATTCCTGGCAGCAATCTCATCAGCATTCCTGGCAGCAATCTCATCAGCATTCCTGGCAGCAATCTGATCAGCTTGACTCAGCTCAAACGACCTCTTCTTTCAGCATCGTCCAAAACATGGCTGCAGTCTCCTCTTCCTGTTCACTAAACTCCAACTCTGAGTGCAAAACCCCACCTCTTCATGAATATACAAATATCTATGCAGTCTGAGGCTGTGTTAGAAAAACAGTGACATCTTGTGGCTAAACCGCAGAATGTCAGTCAAAACATTAATTTACTTCCACACAGTGTTCAAACAATGAGAGCTGTTTCCCCATCTCACACTACAACAGTTTAACAATGTGTAATGTATAAAATCATGCAATAAAAAACAAAATTATGTCATTACTCTGACTGGATTGTGGCAGAATGTTGAAACCAGATACATATTATGAATTAATTATTCAATACTATAAAACAGGGTTCTCCAGGCTTTTCAGCGTGAGGGCTACATTGTATATTTTACAAATAATTGCAGGCCAAAAAAATCCCCATCAGAGTCCCCCTTACACCTGGGTCCCTATCTGAGTCCCCTTACATTATGTTCCCAATCACAGCTCCCCCTTATATCAGGGTCCCCATCCCATACATCAAAGTCCCAGCAGAGTTTCTCCTTACACCAGAAGCAGAAGCCATAGGCAGCTTTTTCTGACCCTAATCCTCAATTTGAGAATATGCTACTGACCCTAGCTGCAGATCGGATGTG